CTCTCTCTCTCACACACACGCACAAAGTGAGAGCGTCCTGCCTGTCAGGGCCTGTGTTAATGTAGTGCTTAAAATAGCCTCTTATTTATGTCAAAGCACATTGACTTTGCTTCTTGTTTAGTTGAACTTTTCAGCTGATTTAGACAAAGATAATTTTACATAAATGTCGAAAAATGTAGAAGTCTGGGCATTTCAGTAGTTTCCTTTCATCCTTTCATTCTTCTTCCACCCTACCGCAAGCCTGACGCATATTCCTTTGCTGCCCCTTGCATGATTTTTGCTGTTCAGCCAGATAAGCAAATCTCAGGAAATACTTGCTAAACTCCTGTGATTAAATTTTTCACATTTAAAAAAACAAGCTGATTGAAGGCATTTTAGTGCAAGCTGATAGTATTTGTGCGTGTGTGATATTTGGACTCAGATATGTGTGACAATTTTAAATGTTTAGACTTCTCTGTATTATATTCATATGTGGTAATCACTGCTTTATGGAGAAAGTCAAATGTATTGTATTCTAAATGTTGACAGCTTTGCAAAGGATCATTTTATCTCTCTAAATTTATAGGTATGGAAGATATTAAAGAGACTGAAGATTCTCCCAGTGGGACAGAGCTGGATGACTCATCCTGCATATCCATGGGTAGCGACAGATCCATGAAGAATCGTACAAATTTTACAAAAGAAAAAATGGACAGGTGTATTTCACTCTTTAAATTGTGCTTGCATTTATTGCATAAGTTATATTTATTTGTATACTCTGTGATGTGTTGGTGCAGCATTGGTGCAACCAATCTGTTGCTGTGAAGAGAGAGCAGAACATAAATGCTAAGTTTTACTGGTTAATCTGTATTCTGGCCCTTAGATTTGGTCAAGAGTAGGGCTGCAACTAACGATTATTTTGGTAATTGACTAATCTTCAAAATTTTCCTCAATTAGTCGTTTAGTCAACGATTATTTCAATACCTCTCATCTCCGCTTCTTGTGGTCAAACCGCATGTTCCAGGCTCCAGCGCCTCACCTGCTCAATTCTGACCACCTGTCAATATCACCCTCTTGTTTCGTCCCGCAGCAAATTAGAATAATTACCCAGGAAACATATGAATTTGAAAATAATATGAAATAATAATAATATATAATAAAATGTATTTTTAACATTAATCAATAGGACCATAAAAATAAAAATGAAATAAATACGATTATTAAATAATGTAAATTAATGTGCTAGTAGTATTTAAATAAAAAAAATGTGCAAAAAAAGCTTCAAATGAAATTAAAAAAGTTTTATTTTTTTATTCCAAAATAAAAGTTTAGAGATAATTCAGTTTATGAATTCACAGTTGGAGTGGACATGCTCTGAGTGAGGCTTATCTTTGAGATGAGGTTCCCAGCTGCTGATAATTATGCTGAAGGTGCTCTCGGTCATGACTTCACCCATTTGAGAGGTCCATAAGCATCTTTTCAGGACAAACTCATCTATACACCTGTGCTTAATACAAGTAAAACAGAAAAGACCATTACTAATCACAAATGTGGTTGTTTCTCTGTTGGTGTAGTGTTCAACGCAGATTAAATAGTTTAACTCATATATCTATATCTCTCTCTCT